GAGACGCGACCTGAAGAAGGAGGGTAAGTTAACTTACTCGTTTCCCAAACATTTTTGCCCCCTTTTGTTTCTGGATAATTTACTGGTGTTCTCAGAGAAGGATTCCATAATTAATCTCATCTATTCATAAAGATCAAATTTTTACCTTAGTATTATGTTTTTGCCACCAAGATAAGGACTGTTGAATTTGACTATATAATAGGTTATTATTCTAAGATCACCTTGGATTGAGCATGTGAAGAATTAACATTTTGTTGATAATGGGAGACAAAAATCTTAATGAAGTGGCCGATTCCCATGTTTTCCTCTTCAAGGTCCGTCTTTTAAACCATATTAAAAGGGTTAAGTGCGGATAGACACCCTATAGTATCTCCCAATCGCGGATAGACCCGTTGTAGTGCTAATCGTGCTGATAGACCCCCTGAACTTTTATTTTATTATTTCTTTTGATAAAGTCCAAAAATTTGTAGAGGTGGATAGACCCCTTTCGGTTCTATTGGTGTGGATAGACCCCAAATTGGTAATTTTTTGACTCCTAAGAGAATTTGAACTATTGGTACAGGAGGTCTATCCGCACAATTAGAACTACAGGGAGTCTATCCGGAATGAAGCCTCATTAAAATTTTATATTAATGCTTCATGTGTAAGTCGGTTTGGGATCAGTATTCAAAATTGGGATTTTCTTTCTGGTGTAGTTACCAAAGTATCAGGAGACATGGGAAATAAGATCAGATGAAACAAATGCATATTGTTCCCTGGATAGCAGGATTAGTAGATAACTTCTCTACTAAAATTCAAATGCACTTTGAATCAAGCATTTAATAGAGAACAAAACGGTTAATAATAGTGTTAGCACTGAGTAACATAAGTAATTGACGATTTACATTGAAAGATATGAAGAGTTGCTAATAAGTTGTAATTGATCAGAGTTATGGTGAATAAGTTTCAAATGTGAATGCTCACAGGAACCTGGTATTTAGTTCTCATCAGACCGCCTTCCTGTTACTGACAAATTCTATGGTTTTACTCAAAGCAGGACCATTTTCCTTGTATTTTTCTGGAAATGAAATTTTGGCTTCCTATTAACTTAGTTAACATTATCCAGACGTGCAGTTCTTATTAAGGAACCAGAGAATCTGGAAGACAAGCCTCTGGATGTCATACCTGCAGAATTTGCAGTGCAATCTTCGGTTCATGAGTACGGAGGAGGTGGATTTGCAGTTTTAGGAGATACTGTTATATTTTCAAACGATAGAGATCAACGGCTATACAAGCTCTTAATTGGAGGTAAATTCTCATGATGAACTCTTGTTACAGGTTTGTAAAGGGATTGTTTATTCTTTTTAACTTAAATCTGAGTGATGATTCTTTTTGATTTGATGGTATTGATCCCTATTAGTATTTTACGATTCTATTGGTTTTAGTATACTTTACCTTGAATTTATCCAGTCAAATTAGGGGGCTTTTTTTCTTGCCAACAGATCATTCACCAATGCCTCTTACCCCGGAGTATGGTGGACCTGTAGTTCGATATGCTGATGGAGTATTTGATTCTCACTTTAAGCGTTACATTACTGTAATGGAAGGTTAGTAGTTAGAAGACAATAATATTACTGTTTTTCTATCATCTTGTAAAATTACTGCTTTTTATGCACTAGCAATCTTTGACAGATCACCGCAGTAATTTAAGCCCAACTGCAACCATTGTGGCTATAGATATTGGTAGTGGGAATATTCAAGGTATATCATTATAGTAGCAACCTCATTTGCGTTTCTCATGTTATGTTTCATAGTTTTGCTGAGCAATCAGAATTTATGCTGTAATTTTCTATTTGTTTAAAATTTGATTTAATGTACGGGAGTTATTTTTATTTATATTTTCTGTTTTCTGCCATTTCAAGAACCAAAGGAACTGGTTAGTGGCAATGACTTTTATGCTTTCCCCCGCGTTGACCCAAGTGAAAAGAGGATGGCATGGATCGAGTGGAGCCATCCAAATATTATTTGGGATAAGTCAGAGCTTTGGGTTGGGTATTTCTCAGACAGTGGGTAAGTCTGAAAAGTATTAATCTGAAATCTCTGTTTCATTATGGACTTACATGACTGAATAATCTTGTTTATAAATAAACTGCATATTCTCATTAAAAGACCAATTGCCTGCCTAACCTGACCCATGCTGAACCTCATTTATAATGATTAAGGAGATTGGCTTTTGATATTTTGGTCTTACATTATCTTTTACAGGCTGGCATATGTAATTACATGGTTGAGGCATTTTACTTTCCTAATCGCCATTTCATGATTCTTTACAGTGATATATCTAAGCGACTCTGTATTGCTGGTGGTGATCAGGCACTAGTTGAGGCTCCAACTGAACCTAAATGGTCCCCCCAAGGTATGGTTGGTCTGTTTTATTTTCTTCATGTGTGTGATCTTTCTTGCTTGTAAGTTGTAAGTAATTTCTATGAGAATGGTTTAAATTATGGAGCCATTGCATTGCTCTGGTTTATTTTTATTATGCGCACCCCAGTTGGTATAATTAATTTAAGTGATCAAGACTTCTCTCTACTATAATATAAAACATAATTATCCATCACATTATCAACTGTGCATACTGCTGAAGAGTTATGGTGAGTTTTGAGTGTTATAGTTTTATACTCTTTAACATATCCCCACAGGTTGAGCAACCTTTTGCTAGAATAGTAATAATATGCCCTTGAACATCCAATATATTTTATGTAATATTTTTGAATATTAATAAAGATTTTATTATTGCACATATAATTTGGATATCATTTCTATAATTGTTATAGTATCCTTAGAAATTGTTTTTGTTAGATCATGCACTATGACGTGTCATTTACTTGGAGATATGATCTAACTTAAAGATTTCTTAAACTCGTGCTTAACCTATAACTAGTAAAGAATAATTTAGTTATACCAGGTTATTATGCATGACACCTACATGTGAGATGTGGTGGTGGGTCTTAACCTTCGGGAATGAGGATTCTCTGGGTGTATATATCATAAGCACACATTGTGATGTGTGTAACACTAGATCATATTTGAATTCTCTAGGACAAGTCACCTAGGAAATGAAGAATTCAAATTGTTACATGATCCCTTTGACTTGATATTATCATTTTCGATTTGATAATTTAGTATGCTTTGATGTGATGATTAAGCTTGTTTAGCAAGCGCTACACAATCTGAAACGTTAGGTTACTAGATTTCATTTAGGGAAATGATGAATATCTAGATAGGATCCAATATGCTCATTATGATGAGTTAATTAATTATGCCTTCCCATGAAGCTATAAAATTCCCGTCGGTGGGTGGTTTTGAATTTTTTTAAATTTTTTTTTATAAAAGTAAAATATATTATTGTTTCAGAATGATTTTTATTTATGTTCATAGGAATGACAACTTAGGCATGAGCAAATAGGTTCAAAAGAGTTGCCTAAAATAAATGATACTAGAGGGAACTGAATGTAAAATATTATTTATAAATAATTAATTCCATATTATGGAAGAGCTTTTATGAACAGTTGGTCAGATAGGGATTTGATGTTAAATTAAAATTATTAATGTGATTAATAATTGGTTCTCGATATGGGACCTAATTGGTCTCACTAATATCATTAGAAGAGGTATATGCAATACAATTCTATTTCTATCCTTAATTGTTATGGAAAGAGTATTTTATTTTTAATTGTTATGGAAAGAATATTCTATCTTTAATTATTATGGAAAGAAGTTTGAGTAATTAAAAATTGTTTTAAATTAAAATCAATAAGGCAAGTCTAATCCTATATATATGGTTCATATATAGCCTTATAAATAGAAGAGAATAACAGAAGAGAAGTAGAAATTTGAGAACCTATCTCTACTATTGGTCCTCTTCGGTGACGTGTAAATTTTAATTGGAGGCTTTTTTCTCTTCAGGAAGTTGAGAAATTTTCAAATAGATCTTGGGAGATGACTATTTCAGATAGATCTTGGGAGATAAAATTTTCAGGTAAATCTTAGGAGATGGATTATAAAAGATCGAAAAGTGTTTCAGGCATTCTCCTAATTTTAATTAATTTTGATTAATTATCATGATATGCATATTCCGCCTTGTTGTATGTCTTGTTTCCAACACCTTTCATGGACGGAACCTAGACTAATGAAGCGATATCTTTCATTTATTCTGGTTTAGAAATTTGTGGCTTGTAAGGTTCAAACCTGGATTGCTCTGGTACATCTTAAAGTTCCCTCCCATTGCACCATAACTTCAAAGATGTGTTGAGGGTTGCGAGTTATAATTTTACGCGTTAATAGAATGGCTAGTTGGATTATTTTTGTGTTCTCGAGATTGGGAGGTTAAGACTGAAGATTTTGTTTTGTGAAGTTTATTATGTGGTGCACCATAAGAGGAGAGCCCTTGGATTAGTGCAAATAAGAGGGGACTTAGTGATATACCTTCTTTAGATTCCATGGGAGTCTGTCTTCGCCATTCCCTATCAGTATGCCAATGAAGCAGCTTATCCATTTTTTTTATTGAGAAGCAAAAGATCGACATGAGATAATAAGATAGCTTCATTTCTTTCACTTTAACTGTAACTTATTGTTCCAATAGTCTGATTTTTCTTACCTTTTAATTTTAGTGCCGATGTTAATGGGTTTCTAGTCACAACTTACTAAAAATAGCATTTCTACATTGCTTGATTTTTCAGGAGAATTATTTTTCATTAGCGATAGGAGGAATGGGTTTTGGAATATTTATAAATGGGTAAGGTTGTCCATCCAGTCAAAAGCTTTCTTCATTTGGAATACACACTCATCTTTTGCATTGCTCATATTTATGCTCATTATCTGATGTTTCTTGTATCATATATTGTCCGCTTTTCTGTATTGAACTGTAAAGCTTAATCTTCCAGTGATTAAAAAATCAGTTTAATTGCAATGGTTAAGGTTATATAAAATGCGTGGGATAATACTCAAATATGTTGGGGTACTAATCAGTTCACTTTTGAATACCTTCTTTTCTATGCGCAGACTGAACATTCCAATGAGGTGGTTACCGTTTATTCTTTGAATGCGGAATTCACAAGAGCAATGTGGATTCTTGGCATAAACTCCTACGATTTTGCTGGAAAGGTTGGAGAGAATCATACTATTATATGCAGTTACAGGTTCTGAAGCTAAATGCCACTACATTTTATGCTCAGTTCATAGCTGACATGATTCTCCTTATGGAATTTATGATTAACTTAGCTGGACTCATGGTGTCAGTCTCTCTTATGCAGGAAGAATGGGAAGTCATATTTGGGAATGTTAGATCATGTTCGGGGTTCTTTTTTACCTCTTGATATTCCTTTTAGCTATATTACTAATATTGTAAGTTCACATTATGGAGTTAATAAGGCTCAAAATGTAAATACTTAAAAGATTTCCATGTTATTGAGGTAGCCAATTCACCAGAATAAATGATTGGTTACATAAAAGATACTGACATTTCTTTCTTCCCCAGACTTCTTCATCCTCCTGCTTCTATGTTGAAGGGGCATCTGCAACCCATCCACTGTCGATTGCAAAGGTTGAGGACAACTAAGACTGACTGATGGATGATTTACAAGCAAAAAGATCTCATCACTAGATGTGTTTATGAACCTTATACAAACTCTATTGGTATTATCAGGTAACTTTGGATGAAAACGTATCAAAAGTAAAAGAATTCTCAATAATTTGGTCTTCATCTCCAGAAGTTGGAAAGTACAACTCATACTTTAGTCTACCAGAGCTTATCGAGTTTCCTACTGCGGTGCCTGGTCAAAAAGCTTATGCATATTTCTACCCCCCATCAAACCCTAATTATCAAGCTACTGCAGATGAAAAGCCTCCTTTGTTACTTGAAAGCCATGGTATGAAGTTTTACTCGTCATAAATTACTTGAGTGAATGAATGCCCTTACCTTTTTCCTTTTTTTTTGAGATGTTTATGACTGTTTAGGTTGCTTGCTATAGTTTATGGATTCTCTGTTAGAATTGCATGCTTATGACTGAAGAAATGTTATTTTTTACAAACTAATCTACAATGACCCTTTGCACTTTCGCATTACATTTTATGTAATTTCAAAATATATGTTTTCCATCTTCTAAAAGGTAAAAACTGTTCTTCCATCTTCTAAAAGGTAAAATTGTTCTCCAGTTACGATTTAGTGAAAAAAGGTTCAATTGGGTTATGTGCAATCACTTGAAGTTTAGGGGTTTAGCGGAATAAAAAAAGTTGAGGGGGGTCTAGTGCAACTCCCCCAAAATTAGGGGAGTTTTCTATGATTATTCCTAAATTATAGTGGTATCTCTTTTGAAGGAAATTATACACACCAAAGTGTCAACGTTTCTTGGAAGGTGCCAAAGGATCCAAACTCTTAGGTGAAATGCATCATGAACTGAGACTATAGTTACACAGTATGCGGTACATAGCGGACCACTGTACGAATTTAGGTACGCAATTCGCCACTTAGAAAATTTGGATTCATTAGGGTGTAGCTTGCTTCGATACGCAAATTCGGTTAGTGGTACGTTGTAGATTTTTTTGGGTGCGCTTAAAGTTTTCCAAAGTATATAGTAGAAAATTAGAAAGCTAATTATGAATTTTAATATTTTTAACATATAAGATACAGAAATACTTCTTTTTGATGGAGTGTGTTTCTTTATTCTTTTTTTTTTCACATAGCTCGTTTTAGGATCATGGTGTCGTTCTACATTTAAGTAGCATATTTGTTTAGTTACAGCAAGGTCATCAGCTCATATATATTGTGTGTCTCCCTTCACTTAATTACACACTTTGCATTGCGTCTTGCGCATGCGCACTTAAAGCGACTTTGCATCTAGCATACTTAAAAGTGGTGCGCTAATTTTGGAAATCTGGTTTGTATATCGGAGCGAATCGGTTCGCAAATGTACTGGGAATTAGTTCGCAGTAACTGTGCAACGGTTCGAGGGGGTTCCGAAGAATCGCGTAGCGATGACTGAGACATTAATCTTTCATTTTATTTCATAGAAACATGGAAATTATCTCTAGTTTTACAGGTGATCGATTCAACTAACAGTTCATGGATAACTAGACATGAACATCGTTTTGCCTTTTCCGAAATTTCCATTGCACACTTTGAAAAACAAAGACCTCGGCTATGCCAACTCCAAATCCCATGCTAATAAATAGTGCAAGCTCAATGATATAGCATGATGATGATGAATAGTCGAGGGTTATATGTTGCACTACACTTGTTCTTCTAGGGTTTATATTGCCACATTATTTTGATAATAGACTTCCATAAAGTCCTTGATTTTTTAGTTACGAAGTGTTTGAGAATGTATTAAATTGTTCGCCTTGAGAGATTCTTCCAATCAAATTGTTGGAGAGGTTTAGAAAATGTAAGAAATTGAGAGAGATCAATTTTTGAGGAATCTTTTCTAATAGATGGTTTGTAGAAAAGTCTAATTATTCAAGATGCGTTATATTTCTAATGGACAAAAAAAATCCTCCTCATGAGGCTATTATGTGATAAGTTCAAGATGTGGAGGTTTTGCAGTTCGTCGGTCACCTTTTGAATATTACATTCAAATCTATTATTTGAGAAATCAACAAATGTATATGTTATTATTAAGATTCTTATAAGGGAAAAATACTGCATATTATATATGATTAAAACTTCATAATATCTCCCATAATGAGTTTCAATATATCCTTTTACTTCATCGATTCACAATCGAGGAGGTCATCATGGATCTCAAGCTAAATTATTTTGAAGACAAATTTCCAGCGAAGTAATTGGAAGAAAGATCAAATAATCGCACTTCTGAAAATATTTTTTCAAGAGCCACATGACTTTTCGTAATTTTCACTTGCTCATAAAATGTATTTTCTCGAAAAATAAGAGCAGTCAGGTTAATTATATGTCCTAATAAAAAATAAAAAATATCCACTATATGATTGCTTCCAATGTCTAAACCTTTAGTGATCTACAATTAAACAAAGTTCGGGATAATGGGCCTTTCAAATGATTGTCACAAGAACTGATGCCTCTAAATTGCATGTCTTATTAAGATGCAGAGGAATAGTCCCTTGGAGTTGGTTCTCTCTTAGTTTCAACACATAAAGTTTCAACACATAAAGGGTGCTGTTATTTTGAAAAATACATGATAGTAGGGGACCACTCAAATTATTTTGAGACAAATCGAGGACTTGGACATTGTGTGCTTTATAGATAGACGTTGGGATTTGTCCTTTGAGATTATTATTAGCAATTAACAACATAATAGTTTCATTAAGGTAGGAGAAAATGTTGGAAGGGATAGCGGATGAGATGTTATTGTTTGAGTAAACAAATGAGAGAAATAATGGAATTGATCCCTAAAGCATGTTAGAATGGAGATCAAGAGTGAAGAATGGTTTTATAGAGAAATTGAATGTTTCTTCCGAAAGTGTGAATTCGTTGTTGGATAGGTTCAAATTCAACAGTCATATAGCGGGCACTTTTTCATTTTACAGCCATTGGTTCTTAGTGACAATCATTTGAAAGACCTATTATTCCGAACTTTACTTAATTGTAGGTCACTAAAGATTTTAGATATTGAAAACAATCATATAGTGAACACTTTTTTATTTTGATTAGGATATATGATTAACCTGACTGCTCTTATTCTCTGAGAAAATGCGTTTTATGGGCAAGTGAAAATTACGGAAAGCCATGAGGCTCTTGATAAAATATTTTTAAAAATGCGATTATTTGATCTTTCTTCCAATCACTTTGCTAAATATTTGCTTTTAAAATATTTTAACAACTTGAAATCCATGATGAACTCCTTTATCGTGAATTGAGGAGGTAAAGGATATATGAAACTCATTACGGGAGATATTATAAAGTTTTAATTATAAATAATAGGGAATATTTTACCCTTGTGAAAATCTTAATAATAACATATACATTTATTGATTTCTCAAACAATAGATTTGAAGGTAATATTCTAAAGGTGATCAGCAAATTGCAAAGCCTTCACATATTGAACTTATCATATAATAGCTTTACGGGGAAGATTCTTGTCCATTAGAAACATGACGCAACTTGAACAATTAGCACTTTCTGTAAATCAGCTATTAGAAGAGATTCCTTAAGAGTTGACATCTCTTAATTTTTTACATTTTTTAAACCTCTCCAATAATTTAATTGGAAGAATCTCTCAATGGGAAAAATTTAATACATTCTCAAACACTTCTTACCTGAAAAATCAAGAACTTTGTGGAAATTAGTTATCAAAACAATGCGATAATATCATACTCCCTTTAAAAGCATGAGTTCGAAAAAATCTTTCTATGGTCAATATTACCCTTCACTATTTTGAATATTTCATTTATATCCTAATCTATTCTAATCATAATTATATCTTATCCTAATCCTACATGAACTATCTATAGCTTAACAATTAAAAAATAATATTAATAAAATATATAAAACATTTTTATGGTATTAGTTTGTTAAGATAAATAAATTATACGTAGGTAACATACTATAATACTTGAAGTATTACAAAAAAACCCTAAAAAATTTTAAAATTGCACAAAATATCCTGAAAAATTCAGAACTATAAAACCATCCCGAGGTCTCAAAACTTAAAACAACAAACATGAAATCAAGAAATTAACTGTAGTTTTTGAAGAACTTGAAATTTACGACTAACTCCTCAATGTCTCAAAAATTATAAAAACGTCCTCAAAAGTTTAAATTATAAACAAGCACCCTAAAAATTTAAAATTTTAAAACTTACAAACAACATAGGTGAATTCAAGGGATTACCATAATGCACCAGAAAATTTCTGACATTTGAAAACTTAAAATAACAAACATAAAATTAAGAAATTAACAGCAGCCTTCGAAGAATTTAAGATTTTTAATTAACACCCTCAATGTCTCAAGAATTATAGAAACACCATCAAAAGTTTAAATTATAAAAAATCACCCTAAGATTCTAAAATTTTAAAATTTACAAATAACAAAAGATGAATTTAAGAGATTACCCTTAGGCACTTAAACATTTAAAATTTACCGAAATTAACCAAGTTACAAAAATTATAGAAAAAACTCCTTCAAAATTTAAAAATAAAAAAACTCTAAAATTTTAAAATTTATAACCAGTGCACATCAAATCTAGAAACTATTAGTAGACCACTAAAATTTGAATTTTTTAAAAATTAATCTACAGTTTTAATAATTGCAATAAGCAACCTCAAAATTTTAGAGTTTTAAGAAATATCCTCACATTTAACAATTATCATCGACACATGAAATATAGAAGTTACAACTACCAAACTTAAAAGTATTTTTTTTTAAACGCTCCCAAAGTTCTAAAAATTATAAATCACACCCTCAAAGTTCAAAACCATAAAAAGAGCTAAAATTTTAAATATTAGTAAAGAAAAGTATAATTATTTGGTATTTTTCATTACGATATATATATTTAATTTCTCATATAGGGTTTGCTATCCTTTTTCAGCATCTAAAAAAAGTCGTTGATACTGGTTACAAAAGCAATAAGAATTGATTAAAAACATCCGGTTAAGGAATAAAAATTTAAAAAACATTATAGCTTAAAAGTTATTGTCACTAAATAAATTACAGTAACTGTATGTAATTTTACTAATAAGTTAGAGCAGTAAAAATACATTAGTAACATTAATTGATAGATGTTTAAATCCATAAAAATGATAAAAGACTATATTATAATAGCTTAGCATTACTTAATTGTAATTTAGAAATATTATTCTCTGATGTTAATAATATTTACAGGATAAAAGAATATACGAAATTAACTATGGAGAAACTATCAGAATGTTCAGAGATATTCTTCAAAAGAACCAAAGCTATTTCCATTACAAATTGGAAAATAAACAAAAATAAATCTAAAATTCAGAAAACGTCCATGAATCACTTAACTTGCCATTAACATAAGGCATATCTATTAAAGAAGCACTCATTGAGTTACATTGAAGAATAATTTAATAATTTTATCCCAATCAAAGAATTCTCCGTGAACAATGTTACAGAAGGCGCTAGGCAGACTAGGTGTTCGAGCCGGGACCTAGCGCCTAGGCGTAAGCCTAGGCGGCGTTTAAGCGTTTGACTATTTTTAAATTTATTTAATTATAATAATTCATAAAAATATGTATTAATTTTATATAAAATTGTTAAAAAACATAAATAATAATTTTAGATCCATAATCAACCATGCATAAATACTAAATAGCTAAAATAGTAACCAAATACTAAGAAACATCATCATGTCCAACATAATCAGTTAATCACAGTGAAAAAAATAAAACAATGAAAAAAAGATAAAAAATTTACCATGAAAAGAGGAGGGCCGACGATGAAGAGGAAGAGGCAGCGAAGAGGAGCCGAGGTGGCTCAAGGAGGAAGTGTAGTGATTAGCTCGAGGAGAAGGCAGTGGCGAAGAGGTGGCGGGAGCAAAGAAGAGGTGGTGGCAAAGAGGATTGAAGAGGATGCTGGGGGAGATTGAGAAGAGGAGGTCGCGGGAGAGGAGCAACGGTAGAAGAGGAGAAGGCTGGGGGAGATTGAGAAGAGGAGGCGGCGGGAATATACGAGAGAGAGGGAGAGAGAGTCAGAGAGATAGGGTTAAGAGTTAGTAATGGGTTCTAGTTTGGGCTGGATTTTAGTTTAAAATTAGTTTTTTTTCTTTTTTTGTCCAAAAAGCTAGGTGGACCTAGGCACCGCCTAAACTGGCCGCTCAGGTCAAATCTATGAGGCCAAGACTATGCCTACGCCTAGGTGGACGCTTAGGCGTCCGTTTAGGCCGCTTGTAATGCGTCCATCTAGGCCGTTTTTTACAACACTGTCCATAAAAGATATAATAAAAATTAGTATGTATTTATAAATTTCATACTTTGTTCTTTAAATACTAAAAAAATTAAATATTAATATTATAATTTAAGGCAATTTGGCAATGAAAAATGTATGCATTTAGTTTAGATCTTTGTGAAAAATGACAGGGATAGAGTAAATATAATATTATTGACATAATAAAAACTCTTATTAAGAGGTAGCTCCTAATCTTATTTATGTAATAAATTAGGAATACAAAGAATTTCATATATATGAAATGAACATTTATTCTTATAAATAGAAAAAAAAATCAAAGTCTGTATTTTAAAAAGTTTGTGTTGAACATCGAAAATATATTTAATTTCTTTGTGAAGTTAAACGAAAAGATAAAAGATTAACAAGCCTAGAAAAGATAACAACACAAAAAAATACAACTCTAGTTTGACGTCACAATCAATGTAGAGGATGAAAACGCTACTGTAGAATTATCCGGGAAAAAGATAAAGGTGAAGAATGATTGATCTTAGCTTAATAAAAATAAAACAGAAGGAGTAAAAGACAATATTTTCTGAATATTTCATAGAATAATTTAATTATTTTGAGTGAAATTAGGAATCTTTAGAAAGTAGTTTCATTAACTTTTAAAGTACTTTATATGCTTATGTGGATGCTTTTATTATATAAAAATATACTAGAGTTAGCATTAATCTTTAGTTTATAATTTTTTATGAAGTCTATCGATGATTAGGAACAAACTTCATATTATTTTTTGTATCGTTTTAAAATACTTTTAATCAATCATTTTGTCTTATTGGTTTTAAATATTCACATTCCTTGTATAACACTATTTTAATATTTTCACTTTTACAACACTATATTTTCTTAAGTAAAGCTTGGTTTCATGTCAATCAAAATAATATGAAAACTCAAATTAGCTTCAAATTATATTTGTTTTCTGTCAATTCAAATATCAACGTGAAAATTTAAATTGGGTGTGGCCCATTTAAATGGACATAAAAATAATCACAATATTAAAGTTTAGAGATAAAAATGAGCACAAACTATTAAAGTGGAACTGAAGAATAAATTTTAGTTAGAAAATAAGCCAAAAATACTTAATCATGGTATTTAACCATGTGCATTGCACGTACATAAAACCTAGTAAACCTAAAAAGAGCAAGTGTAGTGCAACATGTAACCTCTTACCATTCATCATCGTCAAGCTATATCATTTAGATTGCACTATTTATTAGCATGGGATTCAGAGTTAGCATTACAGTGGTCTTTGTTCTTCAAAGAGTGCAATAGGAATTTGGAAAAGACAAAAGAATGATCATATCTAGTTATCCATCAACTGTTAGTTGGATCAATCAACTGTGAAACTAGAGAAAGTTCTCAGGGTTTCATGGTTTCTATCAAATAAAATGAAAGACTAGCGTCTCAGTTGTTTATTCTCTAATAGTAAACTTTTGTTCATGATCATTTCAACTAAGAGTTTGGATCCCTTTAGCACCTTTGAAAAAACGTTGACACTTTGATGTTGTATAATTTCCTCCAAAAGAGATACAAATATAATTTAAGTATAATTACAGAAAACTCCCCTAACTTTGGGGGAGTTGAATTGAACCCCCTCAACTTTTTTTATTTCACTAAACCCCCTGAATTTTAAGAGATTGCACATAACCCTCCATGAACAATTTTTCACTAAATCTTACATGAATTTATTAAAATATAATTTAGGGTTAATTTACTTGATTTTTCTTGTTATTTCAGATGTTTGATGCCCGTGATGTGATTCATTTACGTCTTCAGCTTATTGTCCTTAAACATGACTGCAATCTTCTACGACTACAACAATTATTATCTATTAATGTTCGTTTAGATTATTTACTGTCTAAGTTATAGCTGTTTATAAATTTCATCAATATCTTTCATGGCTCTTTCTGCTTCAATAGCCGACTGCCTGAGTCCATTTTAGTAGTCGAAGATTTAAATGGTAATAACGATGCAAGGAGGTCTCTGTGGCTGATGACTTAATTGCTTTCTATGTCATGCAGCTCTCTATATGGATGCATGCTTACAGAAATATCTCATGAAGGTTTTGAGAAAGTGTAGTTTCCATTATACTACATACTGCTCTGTAAAGTTTAAATAATTACATGCAGGAGGGCCTACCTTGGAGTCATTGGGAGTGTTGGATCTCAATATCCAGTACTGGACCAGTCGCGGATGGGCTTATGTTGATGTGAATTATGGAGGAAGCACTGGTTTGTTCTTAAAACTTTTCGCTATATTTATAGACACATGAAAAACTTGATTTCAAATGAAATGCTTGCATAAAGCTTTCGTTTTGTTAATTCAGTCATTGACCACTGGATTTGACTGATAACAAGTGTTTCTATGCTTATCACTGATAAATAATGCCTTCAAATGGTTTATGCTTAACACATACTTGGGATTATGAGATTAATAATTTTACTGTCACTATATAGTTTTTTAGAATACACTTACGGGCTATTAATTGATGAATAGTATTCATATAAGAATGCGCTTGAAGGTTATGGGAGAGAATATCGAGAACGACTTCGGGGTCAATGGGGTATTGTTGATGTAAATGATTGTTGCAGCTGTGCTGAATTTCTGGTAACGCATCTTGGTGTTGTTTACAAATTCCTCCTTGAAGTATGCTAAAACTATTTTCTCGATGCCAATGACTAATTCATCTTGTGATCTATATGATATAAAAGGCAGAAAGTGGAAAGGTGGACGGTCGAAGGCTCTGTATAACTGGGAGATCAGCTGGTGGGTACACTACATTAGCCTGTCTTGTTTTCAGGAATACATTCAAGGCTGGTGCTTCCCATTATGGTGTAAGTAATCAGCCACGTGTTCTATGAACACTGTACTGTTTAGAGCTGGTAGTTTTATATTGATACAAGTTTTGTTGTGCATAAATTTAATTAAATCTGGGGCAGTCTAGTTGGTCACATGGCAAAACTGTGTCGCTCCCTCGTGGGGAGCCTAGGTTTGATTCCCATGTGCGCTGAAGGTGCATTAGTTGTGGTTGTTGGTGTTGTTGTTATGTGTGTCAAAGGCATATTTTCCTCATAATTTTTTTAATTAAATTTGATTATCTATTTAAGTTAACAGACCTTCCCAGGATACGAGGGATTTGTTTGTTGGAAGAAAGCTATGTGCATGAGCGTATTTATGTTGTGCTTTATCCAGAAGTGATTAATCATCCTATGTATTGGTAAAACAACAGATAGCAGACTTGGCTTCTTTGAGGGCAGAAATGCACAAATTTGAGTCTCACTACATCGATAATCTTGTTGGTAAGTAATGGAAGCATCTGAAGCTTCTAATGTTTGTCAAAATTCTATTAACCCAAATGTTTATTATATTTGGATAGTTAACTAAATCTTTTTTTTGGATTAGGGGATAGAAATGCATATTTTGAGAGGTCGCCTATTAACTTTGTTGATAAGTTTGCTTGTCCAGTGATTTTGTTCCAAGGCTTAGATGACGAGGTATGAATTTCCTGAACTTCACATTTCTTTTGTGAAGTTGCATATCTGCTGGAAAATTAATAAATTTTCTTGTTCCAGTTGTGAAAATACTCTCATCAAATTAGTGAAAATACTCTCATCAAATTGGAAAGAATGTTGTATTAAAGTTGTGATACGTGTCTCTTATATATAGAACATTTAAAATCGAAGTTCCTGGTAGTTAAGTGCACTGTTAACAAGAAAAGATGAAACAAACATGATGGAATAAACCACATTGCTGGTTACCCATTATGGAAATGATAACAAATTACTTACTATAAGTTTGTCGATAATGTAGATTGTTCCACCGAAACAAGCAAGGAAGATATATATGGCTTTAAAGGAGAAAGGTTTGCCTGTAGCTTTGGTTGAGTTTGAAGGTGAACCTCATGGGTTTCGCAAGGTAATGAACAGTGCAATTTTACTGGGGTCTGTATGAACTCTCAAATTAGTTAATCTCTATGGTGAATATTCTACTACTTACTAATCTGAATGTGTTTTTGAGTAGGCTGAGAATATCAAGTTTGCAGTGGAGCAACAGATGATGTTCTTTGCCCGGTTGGTGGGGAAATTCCAAGTGGCTGATGAAATTTCTGCAATTAAGATCGACAATCTAGATTAAGAAAATCTCTTGAATCCAGTTTCATTCTGTTTGGATGATGTTTCATTTATGAACATTTTCCCAAATAGATGTTGGTTACCTTTTTTTTTTTTTTTGACAGTGATGTTGGTTACTTTTCTTTCAGCAGTGTAACATGGAAGTTATAATAAGTGGAACTGGATCTTTTGATGATTATAGTAGTTGATTTTTTTTGCAATTTTGCAATCAAACCATGATTTACAGTTGCAAGCCCGGTAACAATGAACATAGAGGGAGTTATCATGAAGTAAGATTGTTTCAGTTATGAAGTTCCCCTTGATTTCCTCATCAAATAGAGAAAAGGAAAGAAAATCCTTAAAAATAATGAAGATCTTATTAAGAAAATAGGGAAAGGAGAAGAAAAGGTTAAGCTGGTGGTAGTGCCCACAGTAGGACTGAAGAAACTAAATGGTAATAAAATTATGACTCTCAACCAAACCAATGTAACAATATTATGACTCGTTTTGATCCAAAAAAAAATCAATCAGTTAGAAACCCTATAAAACATCCGAGATAAATATAGCTATGATATCTACATATAGATTTTTATGAGTACACACTAAAAAGTTTCTTTGCTATTATATTTTCAAAACAACTCTTACTTTAACAAAAAAAAAAAAAAAACATTTCTCATCTAACCACTATGATGTAATGGCTTTTCATAACTCTTATCATATCATTTTTTATGAAAGCATTTATACCAAAGAAAATTGAAAGTTGGAAAAAGTAAAAGGCAGAACAAAGCCTTAATTGCACTTATATACCCCCATAACTTATGGGCAACGCTTAGATACAACAAAGGTTTTAAAACTTGCACTTATGTACCCTTATACACCCCAAAGTTTTTAAATGTGACACTTAAATATCCTCGAACTTGAGGATATTCAAGTACAAGTTTTTAAATGTGACACTTAAGTTCAAGTTTCCAAACCTTTCAGGGTATATAAATGCTGCCCAAAACAGTTGAGGGTACCTGAGCGCAATATAGGGCAAACTATAGGGTATCTAAGTGCAATTAAAGAATAGAGCAAAAACTTAGGGCTTGTTTGGATTGAGGGGAATGAGGGTGAAGGGAAGTTAGGGGAACCATTCACCTCCATTCATCTTGTTTGGGAACACTTAGGAGGTGAAGTTAATTCACCTCCATTCACCTTGGTTCACCCCCTAAGACTATCTCCAGCAGGAGTCGAAATTTTAACTTTCTCTCCCCTGCCACATCACTTTATTCCCCCTCCACATAATTCAACAATCTTCATTTTCTATCATCTCTACAGCAGGAGTTTTTTCAAAAGATTTTTACTTTATTTGGGACCCACTACTACCCCATCCCTCTAACATATATACCCCACCTTATTTATTCATTTCTTTATCTTATTTCATATATATTACTACTACTACTATTATTATTACTAATATAACTCATTTATTTATAATTATAAATTTTTAATATTTACATAAATAATATATATTATTAATCTCTATTTGAAAAAGTTTGAAGAATATAGAAGCAAAAGCAAAGAGAAGGAGAATAAGGTGTTGAAAACTCAGATTTTTTTGGTGTCCAAATTACACAAGACTAATCTCTATTTATAAAGGTGAAAAAATAAAAATTATTGATATAAAAATTATAAATTAATTCCTAGTATTTATCTCCCAAAATATCATTTAAAAATTAAGAATAAAACAAAAAAGGCCAACCAACCAAACCTTGACACATGGCTCAAGCATGGGCTAAGGACAATTCGCGGGACCCATGAGGTTAGAAAAACCGGAGGTGAAAAATTCACCCATCCGATTTCGGTTTTCCAATTCACCCCTCCAAAAACCCCCTGCTGGAGCCAAAAACCCCCTAAAAAAACCCCTGCTGGAGATATTAGTATAAAAATTGTTACCCCCAAATTGGGGTGTAACCAAGGGGAAGGAATTCTCTTCCTTTCACTCAGTTCCCTTAACTTCCCTTCACCCCCTACGAATCCAAACAGGCCCTGCGCGAAAGAATGCAGGGGGTGAGCCTGACTCAGAACCTACTTGACATTATAAGGATGAGCTTAGCGGCCGCGCAACGGCTTCCTCACTCACTTCGTTCGAATTCTCCTCGCTCACCGCGCTCCCAATCTCTATAAAAACCCCCCTCGCCATCATCGCCGCCGTTATCGCTCTCCTCCATTTCCCACAACGAAAGCGACCCATACCGAACAATGCCTCTCCTTCCTCACCCGACATCGAACAAAGCGGGCAAGGGAGAGAAGAATAACGGCGCGTACGTTCCTGGAAGTCTCCGATCACCGCTGACGTCCGCTCCGGCGCCGAGAAGAAGCTCGGCGGGTTCGCGGTTGCTGGGGATGGAGGCCTGCTCTTGATCGAAACCCGGCCCAAAGAAAAAGGGTAGGCTCAAGAATCTTCAAGGGTGATTGAAACCCTAGAACTTCTTTTTTAAGTGGGTTCTAGTTGTATTTTTTTAAAAAGTTGGTTATCTTTCAGACAATTGCACAAACACTTGGTAGGCATGGTTCTTAGTGGCAAATTTTCCGCTGCTAGCTGTGAGTTTTTTTGGGGGGGTTTTGTACAAATTTGATCTTGGAGAGCGGTATATTTGTTACATTTTATTCTTCAGTTGTGGGTTCTGCGTATGATTTTGGACATGAGAAATATTGTGCCGAGCCATTTTCGAGGTTGAATTTGTTTTATTTATTCAAGGAGTTGGCTTTCTGCATGTACAGTTCTAGTTGGTTTAAAGTTAGAGAAGATTGATATAGAATAAGAGCAAAGAGTGACGAATAGGATGAAGAAGATAGAATATAAGTGAAAAGAGTTGGGTTTTAGGGTTTCTCACTTATCTCTTCTCTGATAGAATTGTTGGCTTATATAGCCTTACACACATGTTTACACAAAGGCCCTCTAAAACTCTTTAATTTGCATTACGCTCTTAACACTCCTCCTCAAGATGGGTGAAAGATATCTATTAAGCCTATCTTGTCACACCCTCTAGCTAGATCTACTGAGCTAAGCCCTTTAGTCAAGCAGTCTGCAGCCTGCTCCTTAGTTGGAACATAGCCTAACTCCAGTAGCCTACTGTTCAGTTTCTCCTTGATGAAGAATCTAACAATCTCGATGTGCTTAGTTCTGTCATGTTGAACTGGGTTGTTGACGATGCTGATAGCTGACTTGTTGTCGCACCACAAACTCATCTTGGCCCCTTGGTCAAGGTTCAGTTCCACCAGCATGTTCTTCAGCCACATCAGCTCCGCAACCCCAAAGGCCATGGCTCTGTATTCAGCGTCAGCTGTTGATCTCGCCACCACAGATTGCTTCTTGTTTTTCCAGGAGACTAAGTTACCTCCTACAAATATGTAATACCCTGATGTAGACCTCCGATCATCTCCGCAGCTAGTCCAATTTGAGTCACAGTAGCCCTCAATGTTCACATGGCCACTCCTCCTGAATCTTAGTCCTTTGTCAGGGGCACTCTTTAGATACCTCAGTATCTGATATACTGCATCCATATAACCCTTCCTCGGGTCATGCATATAGCGGCTCACCATGCTTACCGCGAATGAGATATCTGGGCGTGTGTGACTCAGGTAGATCAGCCTACCCACCAATCTCTGATATCTCTCACGATCAACAGGTTCTCCTGCCTCAGCACTCAGCCTGAGACTCTGATCAATCGGTGTAGCAGCAGGCTTGCACCCCAACATCCCCGTCTCTGCAAGAAGATCCAGTGCATACTTCCTCTGGGAGAGAACAATCCCCTTAGGTACATGAGCTATCTCTATCCCAAGGAAGTATCGCAGCTGACCCAGATCCTTCACTTCGAATTCTTTGCTCAATCTTACCTTGAGCTGAGCAATCTCCTTCTCATCATCCCCTGTGATGATCATGTCATTCACATATACTGCCAGCATTGTGATATGACCCCCACTTCTTCTGAAGAATACAGTATGATCGGCATTGATCTGTCTGTATCCCATACTAATCATGGTTCTCCTGAACCTGTCAAACCATGCTCGAGTAGACTGTTTTAGTCCATACAGAGACTTCTTCAGCCTGCAGACCTTACCCACTGTCTGTCCTGTGCCACATCCCGGTGGTATCTCCATATACACCTCTTCTACTAGATCTCCATGAAGGAACGCATTCTTCACATCCAGTTGGTGTAGTTCCCATCCACTATTTATTGTCAGAGAAATCAGCGTTCGAACAGTACTCATCTTTGCCACTGGTGCAAAAGTCTCATCGTAGTCAATGCCGTATGTCTGGCTGTACCCTTTTGCCACCAGTCGTGTCTTGTATCGTTCAACATTCCCTTCCGGGTTCTGCTTCACGGTAAACACCCACTTGCATCCCACTGCCTTTTTTCCTGCTGGCAGTGTCGCTAACTCCCACGTGTGGCTCTTCTCAAGAGCCCCCAACTCCTCATGCATAGCAGCCTTCCACTTTGAGTCCTTCTTAGCATCCTGCCAGTTGTTAGGTATAATAACAGAATCTAATGATGCAATGAATGCTCCATCCTTCCCCCTCCTACTGTATGTAAGCAACTCCCCCTGAGCTGTAGGTCTAACACCCATTGTCTCCTCCTCCCCCCCTTCGTCTTCATCCTCTTTCTCTTCTGGGTACAGGATCGAAATTGGGATTGACCCCCTTGAGCTCTCACCATTCCCTCCCTCTTGCCTCGTACCTCCAGTATCGGGCAAGTCGCCAAAAGGTGAAGTAATCCCCACTGTGTAGTACGGCTCGAGCTCCCGAAACCGCACATCCATGCTGACAAACAGCCTTTTCTCCATCGGGCTCTAGCAGATATACCCTTTCTGGGTGCCATTGTATCCCACGAATATACACTTCACAGCCCTAGGGTCTAGCTTCCCAACCGATGGTCTGTTATCCTTCACAAAGCACACACAGCCAAATATCTTCAAAGGTAGGGCCCCCTCGTTATCTCCCTTCAGTATCTCACGAGGAGACTTTCACTCCAACACACTCGAAGGCATCCGGTTGATTAAGTAAGCAGCAATCAAGACTGCTTGTCCCCACACCACCTTTGGGACATTCATCGCCATCATCATACTCCTAGTAACTTCTAGGAGATGTCTGTTCTTTCTCTCTGCTACCCCATTCTGAGCTGGGGTATATGGACATATGTAGTCTGGTGTAGAATCCCCTGAGCTGACAGATACTCCCCAAGTGTTCTGTTGGTGTACTTTGTCCCATTATCTGACCTCAACACCTTTACTGCTGCACCATACTGAGTCTGGATGTGCTTATGAAAATCTTTAAAACAGCCAACTACATCACTTTTGTTTTTCATAAGATACACCCAAGTGACCCTAGAGAAGCAATAAATAAATATAACAAAAAACTTGCATCCATTTATAGAATTTACTGGACAGGGTCCCTATACATCAGAGTGTATTACTTCAAACTTACCAGAACTCCTATTACCTGAACTAACATAAGAGCTTCTAGTTAGCTTCCCAAACTCACAAGCATCACACTGCAGCTTCTGTTTATTTACTTTTCCAAACAGGGTTGGATACATTCTACCCAAAATGCCAAATGACGGATGTCCCATCCGTTGATGATAAAGCATCAACTCATCTTTTGTACACACTTTAGCTCCTCCTGTTCCCATCCTCTCCACCATAGATGTCAGCGCTGAGTTCATCCCTTCGCGGTCCAAGTACTACAGCCCACTACGTCATGTCCCAGTCCTAAGTCTTCGCCCTGTCCCCTTCTCCTGGAAGATCACCTTGGGAATGTCAAAATAAACAATACAATTTAGTTGGAGGATAATGACACTAATGGATAACAGGCTAACATGGAATGAAGGAGCATGCAGAACATTAGATAAAGTTATAGAACATGTACAACTAACAGTGCCCTTACCAACCACATCATGCGTTGTACCATCAGCGATCTGGATGCTCTCTGCTTCTGCTAAGTGAGTGTAAGATAAGAACTCCTGGCATTGCCTGTCACATGTCTGGATGCTCCAGAATCCATTATCCAGACGGTAGATCTTCCCTCGTTTGGGTGTGCGCGAAGGGCGTAATTAGCATAGTCCCCTCCAGAGAAAGTAGTAGATGCCCCCTCAGACACATCACCTATTGCGCTCTGCTTCCTCCTTAGTGCTGTCAATAGTGCACGATCCTCAGCAGTGAAGATTTTCTCAGCTTCTTCTTCTCTTTCTGTCACTGTCAAGTTTGCTCGGTGGCCTCCTCTTCCACCTCGCCTGCCTCCACGACCATGGCCACGGCCTCCAGCCTGACCGCGTCCACCCTAGTCCCTCTCTCTGGGTGGCTTAGGGCACATCTGTCTCAGATGCCCTACCTCTTCGCAGTTGAAGCACTTCCTAGTCTCCCCTCTGAATCCAGTGTTATCCGGATTGGATACCACCAGTGCAGACTTCTCCCCTGTAAGTCCACATGTCCCAGCTTGTAGCCTGATACGGCTCTCCTCCTGTATCATGGCTGAGATTGCCTCCTCCAGTGGTGGGATCTTAGTCTGAGTTAGTAACAACGTCGTCCTCTGCTCATATGCTGGAGCCAAGCCTCGGAGAAACAACATGGTCCTCTTCTGCAAGGAGGCCTCGCGCTCCTTGCACTCCGGGTCTTTACAGCTCGCTAGGGGCGAGAAGTGATCGTGATCGAGCCATAAGCGCTCCAGCTCTGTTGCGTACTCCTGTACAGTCCTCTCTCCCTGGACTGTAGCGCTGATCTCCTTCTCGATCTGGAATACCCTCTGGTTATTTCCCACTCCATCGTAGGTCCTCCTCAGCTTCTCCCAGACATCATGCACCCTCCCGAGGCCATCCACTGTGATAGCAATTGACTGGACTACAGAATTCAGAAGCCAGATGTATACCAACATATGAGTGGACTTCCACTCATCTCTCCCTACTGAGCCCTCAGCCGGCTCAGTCTTCTCCCCTGTCAGATATCCTTCTAAGCTCCTCCCGACAAGGGTATATTTCACCCGGCGCGACCAACTCAGATATGTCGCGGGTCCATCAAGTTTTACATCGATAGGTGAGAGCTCCACCTTCTTGGGTTGTGGCTTTGTCGAGCTCTCTCCCGCCGACAACCTCATCAGTTGCAACAGTGTTGAGATCTCCTCAGGATTCAACTTCTTGATAATCCCCTCCATCGGATTTCTGCCAGTCTCCGTCATCGATCCAACTTGTATTCTTGTGCGCAGTGAAAATTTTTGGCAGCACTTCGACAGCACCACAAGAAAGATAGATCAATAAGAGTTCTTGTTTCATCAAGGAAACAAGAACTAGAAGCAGGATATCTCAACCAAGTAAAATATCAGCTCTTCCTCTCATCAGTTCTAGGACTGATCTGTCGAGGGAACCTAAACAAACTATTACAACTTCGAATATTGTCAACAGACATAGGCAAAACATATGAGATTTCCATACAGACCCTTATCTCATCATCAAGTTTACCAAAGACTACTCACAACATTAGCCACCCAAAAACTAAAAATGAAATTAAACAAACTGTTTTTAAAAAAAAAACAGTCACCCTAAACCAGTCACCCCAAACCAGTCTCACCCCAAACCAGTCTTCACGTCAGTCCAGTCACCCTCTTCACGTCGGGTTCACCATCTACCGCCTCTACCGACCCCCGCAGCTCGATCACCCTCTCTTCCGACCACCGAGGCTTTACTCCTCCTCTTTGGCTCCTTGATCGTCGATCTCAGGCTCGACCCCATCCGCTTCTCTCTGATCCCTTGCTCAACCTCCGAGTTTCGTCATTCTCTCGCGCACCCAATTTCTTCATCCGCTCGAAAGTCGCCGCCGATTGCAATGGCGACGGGACGACAAGGAGAACGCGTCGCTGGTTCAGATCGAGGGAGGGGGGGTCACTGGTTCAGATCACTGGTTCAGGAGGAGGGGACAACAAGGGGATGGAGCCCTAGGGGTTAGGATGGCGGCGGTTCGAAGGACAGAGCTCGGGTTGGGATTGACGGCGGCTCTGATACCATGAAAAGAGTTGGGTTTTAGGGTTTCTCACTTATCTCTTCTCTGATAGAATTGTTGGCTTATATAGCCTTACACATGTTTACACAAAGACCCTCTAAAGCTCTTTAATTTGCATTATGTTCTTAACAATAAGAGAGAAAATAGAGGAGCTTAAATTAAGATCTTCACGCTAATTTTGTGATGTGTAAATTGTCATGTTGGTGCTTCCTTAGTAAATATAGTGGGTTTTTGATAATTTTGAGTCCTGATATTTTCATCCTAATTTTGTGGACTTTATGGTTGGCCTTGCTGTCAATCTACATTTATCAAAAGCTTTCTCGACCTCATCTTTTAGTAATAGGTGTTGTGTAAGTTGATACGATCTAGTGAATATTTATGTATGCATATATGTATGTGTCTATGTATTTATGTATGCGTATACGCAAGGTTTTTAATATCGGATATCTAGGAAATATCAGATGGCAAGAATTCAAATCGAACGGCGGATATCGGGGATATGTGGTAAACATCGGAATTCCATAACGGATGTCTGTATATATAGTATAATGCACTGAAATGTAATCTCAACATACTTTACGAAGTCTATGCATACAAAATGTAAATAATGTATGTTTAGGATCACTAATCAGCCTTGTAAAATTAACAAAAGTACAAATCAACGTTACACTATTTCATCTAATTTTTTAGGCCAAAATGTCATTTGATATAATGGGAATATCATGATATCTCGCCCAAAAATTGTCAAACGTGGTATCTTGTTTTGTGACAGCCATATAAAAGGATATATCAGCCATCATATCAGCTGATAAATCGGCCATATCAGGGATGTATCGTCCAAAATAGCTAAAAAGCGGTAAAGGATATTTAGAGACCATATCGGTTGCGACAAGCCCTATAAAAGGATATATCGGGCGATATATCGGGTGAATTCCTATCAGCTTATGCATAATGACAGGTTATAAAACAGCAAATCTGCCCTAAAATGAATTATTTTGAACTTTCCTGGTTCATCCAACCGAAGCTTTGACAATGAAACGGTTGTAAATGGTGTACTGTACAATATGATAGCCATGATTGCAAACATACACTTATTATATGAGATCCATGTGTTGTGTATCCATATATGACTCCTTGGGCTTTTTTCTGCGTAATCATTTTGGTTTCTCTACATTTGATTATGAGCCTGCTGTCTTACTAAGTTGAAATTTTCCAGACGTGCAGTACTCGTTAAGGAACCTGTTAAACTAGGAGATAAACCTCTGGATATCATACCTGAAGACTTTGCAGCACGAACTTTAGCCCAAGAGTATGGGGGTGGTACATTTGCAGTTCTGGACGACATGGTTGTTTTCTCAAACTACAAAGATCAACGATTGTACAAACAGTTCATTGGAGGTAGAACCTGTTTTCCTTTGCAGACATTTCATACGGTGACTTGATTTTACCTTTAATTTTAAGTTAATTCGCATACTAGTCATTCACTAATGTATCCATGTACAGTACCTGTTCATGTCAGTAGGTGTGACACTAGTTGCCAACATCAATTGTAGATAATAGGAGTGTTAATGAGCTTAGATTTATTATGTCTAAGCTTGGTTCCACGTTTGTTTTGGGCAGCTTATACTTGGAAGGTTGACCAAGTATTTTTTTATCTTGTGTGTACACCCTTCTATATTATGCAAGCTTAGCTTAAGCTTCAACAATGTTATTTACACAAAACAAGCTGCTCTCGGCCTTATAATTGCATATCTTTCTATTCGTTTATCTGAGCTCTTTGTTTTACAGGTCATTCACCGGAACCTCTTACTCCGGATTATGGTGAACCTGTAGTTTGCTATGCTGATGGTGTATTTCATCCTCATTTCAACCGTTATCTCACTGTAATGGAAGGTTAGTATCTCATAAGTTTGTATGACAAATGATGACATGCCCTCAGAAAAGCTGCTCAAGTTTTTTTTTTTGGCAGATCGTCGCCAGAGTAGCTTAAATCCAACAACAACTATTGTTTCTATTGAATTAGGTCATGGAAACATTCAAGGTAAAATATTTTTATGCAAATTAAGCATTATGATACATTCGTCAGTGGTAACTGTAAAAACTTCATTAGAGACCTTTTAACTGATCTAATATTTAATCAACTGATATTTATGGACTGTTTCTATCTATTGTGCACCTTTTTGTTGTTTATTTGTTTTCTTCTTGTGGATGATATGGCTTCAAGAACCGAAGAAACTGGTTGCTGGCAATGATTTTTATGCATTCCCAAGGATTGACCCAACTGGAAAGAAGATGGCATGGGTAGAATGGAGTCACCCACACATGCACTGGGACAGAGCACAACTTTGGGTTGGTTATTTTTCTGAAACTGGGTAAGTGCTGCTGATGAAAGACGGTTTTCTGTCCTCGGCTAATCTTTTGTTATAGTTGAAGATTAAAGTCTTCTCATATACATGTAATAGGAAATAAAATTTGAAGAAATCTCTCCATGATGGCCATTATGTACCTTGTATCGGTTAAGATCTACCTGATTTTATGAAATCTTTTTTTTGGAATCTCAATTAGGCCTATTTGTGGGTCTTACCTCTCGAATATGGTCAAGATTAGTTTTCTACCGTTTGAGTTATTTTTATTATTTTGTATTATCCATCTTGTTCACAAGATCCTTGTCCGGTTTTTCTGTACCTGTTATCATCAACCTTTAGCATGCTCATTACTCTATACAACTATTAACCAAATCTTACATTTTACAGAGACTTGTGCAAGCGAGTTTGCATTGCTGGTGGAGATAATAGGACAATAGAATCCCCAAGTGAACCTAAGTGGTCCCCAAAAGGTATGCTTTGTTTTTTCCTCATTCCAGGTGTCAGAAACTTGTGCGACCAATTCTTGCACTCTACCATGCATTGTTTGTTCTGATTGTTGTTTTTTATTTGTGATTTTAGGAGATCTCTTTTTCATTACAGATAGAGAAAGTGGGTTTTGGAATATCTATAAATGGGTAATGTTTTTTCTGCGACTGAAATATTTTCTGTACAACTTACTTTGTGCATTTTCATAGGTAGATATACCTGTAGGCATCTTTATATTATCATTTATTCATTACTGATGGTTCATCCCGTCATAATAATTTGTTTTCGTGCATAAGTTTTATCTGCTTTGCAATACACACTATTCATTTTCCTATCTTGAACAGATTGAAGACAAGAATGAACTGGTGGCTGTTTANTTTGGCATCAACTCTTATGATTTTGTTGGAAACAATAGCGAGAGTAATAATATAGTTTGCAGCTACAGGTTATACAAAATTATTTGGCCATCTTTTAGTGTTCAAATTACCACAAAGAGTTCCCATGTAATTAGGTTTAACTGTTTGCGTTGGGATTTATCATATGCAGGCAGAATGGAAGGTCATACCTGGGAGTATTGGACCATATTCACAGCTCTTTTTCATTGATTGATACTCCTTTTACCGATATTAATAACATTGTATGTTCTCAGTTACTAAAATCACCATCTTTCGGTTGCTACATGGTTTTTAGTTTGTCTGAGAGAGAATAAACTTGATGTAGAAGGATAGACTACGATATGTGTAGTTACTTAAAAGCTTATGATACCAGTTGAGGCTTTTGATCTATGTAGGTTTCTGCAGCCAACTACTTGTACATTGAAGGAGCATCTGCAACCCATCCGTTGTCTGTTGCAAAGGTTGCTCAACTATCTTCACTGAACAACTGAGGTTTTTATCAAAAGAAACATATATATTGGCTGCCTTTTTATGATTAATTCTATGAGATCATTTCATGTATTATTAGGTAACTTTGGATGAGAGTTTGACAAAAGCAAAAGAATTCTCTATTGTATGGTCATCTTCTCCAGAAATTGCAAAATACAGATCATACTTTAGTCTTCCAGAGCTCATCGAGTTTCCTACAGAAGTTCCTGGTCAAAATGCTTATGCATTTTATTATCCTCCTTCAAATTCCAAATATCAAGCTACTTCAGATGAAAAGCCTCCCTTATTAGTGAAAAGTCATGGTATGATATGGTCCTTTTCGCGTTAAAGTATTTATAGGTTACTATTTAGATTTTTTTTATGTTTACTATTTATATTTTCCTATACCTGTGTCATTCAAGAGAAAATATTTGTGCCTTGTGCACATAGTTAAGCAAGCTTTAAGAAAATTTGTGTCATTTTGCAGGAGGGCCAACAGCAGAGACTCGTGGAATACTTGACCTTAATGTCCAATACTGGACTAGTAGAGGATGGGCTTTTGTGGATGTTAACTATGGAGGAAGCACTGGTTTGTTTCCAAATGCTTTGCATATCTCAATTTTCATCTTGATACTTGTTATTTGCTAATTCAAAGCCGGTCTGACTTATTTAACTCTCTCTTACATAGATCTGTAAATTGACTCCCAAAGATGATATTCTCTCTACTATATTAGCTGGAGATCTAAGAGGAAGGTTTGACTGTGTACGACCATGAATTTGAATGTGGAACAATTAAGTCAATAAAGTACTAAAGATATTTCAAGGATGGTGCTTCATTTATCTTGTTCTGTCTCTATATTGTCCAGCTTAAAGTGCATAAGTAAACTTTTTCCATAACCATCTTTCAAAATTGAATTTAACTACAAATTTTAAAATAGTTTACATGTAAATTTCCATTACATGTCCAAAAATCTAGTTTAGATTTCGGACTGTTCCTCCAATCATGTAATGTGCTAGAACTTGCTTACACAGGACACATATTGATGACTTGTAATAAAGTTTGATAGTTTAGCATAGCATTTTAAAAAACCTCTACATGTCTTGTGAAGGTTTCGGAAGAGAGTACAGAGAACGACTTTTAGGCAACTGGGGTATCGTTGATGTAAATGATTGTTGCAGTTGTGCCAAATTTTTGGTATGGCAACCTTTTGTTCCATATAGTATGCAGCAACTAGTTTTATTTTGTTATATTCAGGTTATGCAATTCATTAGCTGGTGTGATCCCCTCCAGGTGGAAAGTGGAAAGGCAGATGGACAAAGACTATGTATAACTGGGAGGTCCGCTGGTGGGTACACTACATTAGCTTGTCTTGCATTCAGAGACACATTCAAGGCGGGTTCTTCTCTGTATGGTGTAAGTTGTTCACCATTTACTCCACAAAATGGACACTTTGTATTGCTAAAAGCCACTATATCTTCCTGTGAAGTATTTTTTTCTCAATGTGCAAGCGCTTGACACAAACAAGAATGGCTGACACATTATAACAAAGGAAGATTGATCAATGAGCTGGAACAAAAACAGCAGAGCTTTTAACACCCACCAACTACAAAAAACAGAAATTTGGAAAAATGGAACAGATTGTTTGTTAGGCATGTGAAGATTATTCTCCAACATGCTTATTTTACAACAGTTGTGATCTTTTGCTTTTGTTTGGCACGTAATTTTTGTTTATAGGACAGTTATAGGAAAGAAGTTTACCCTTAGCTTCTTGCAACAATTGTTGGCCAGTAATCTGACATTCTTGTTCCTCTTATGACGGTTTGACGTGGTGGTTAGATCCGCTTACGTTCTAGCTTTAACCATTATTATTCTGGAATTAGTCAAAAAGACATCCGAGTTGTTGCATGAAATATGTAAATTGATCTAAATTAATTTAGGCCTATTTATTTATTCTTTTATGCTTCGCATGCATCATTGTAGAGCAGGGTTCGTAAGACCTGAAGTATTTAGTGTACAAAATGGTGTGTGATATCTGATAGGTCATGCTACAGTGTCCAAGGATGGATACGCTATTAAGTGCAAAAAGCTAGAGGAGGTAATAAAGACCAGTCAAATTCTGGTTTATATTGACTGCTGAGTTTGTATATTTGCTTAACGTCGGTATCATGACAATCGGTACTTTTTACTGTGTGTTTCTCTCTGATGCTATGATAGAATGTTTTGTCTAAATCGTGCCTCTTTTTCCCAAAAGTAATTTAGTTAACATAAGCTTGCAAATCTTACTCTTTCAACCAGTGGTTTCTCTAAGATTAGCATGCAGTAGAAACTAGAAATTCTAACACCCTTTGCCTATTTTTAGTTACTGTGTTTTTAGAGAGAATTTATGAACGATATTTCTTCATTGTGTTTCACATTGGCATATGACAAATCATTGTCTTCTTTGGCGGACAGGTAGCTGATTTGTCTTTGTTGAGACAAGAAACCCATAAATTTGAGTCACATTACACTGATAACCTTGTGGGTAAGTAATGCCAACATGTGAATCTTTGAGAATCAGTTTCAAGCGTCAATAGCATTAAATGTACTCTTTCATATTAACTGCTAAATCCTTATGCCTTCTGTCTGACTTGATCCTTTCAGGGAGTGAAAAAGACTACTTTGAGAGGTCACCGATTAACTTTGTGGACAAATTTACTTGTCCAGTAATTCTGCTTCAAGGGTTAGATGATAAGGTGCGCATATGGTGAACTTGGACTTTCATATACTTTTCCTTTTCTTGACGTATATTTAATGTTATCCTAACTAATTGATGTCAGGTGAAAGTACCTATCATAAGAATTAGTATTAAATTTGTAATAATCGTATTGTCCAACTCATTCAAGAACATCAATGGACCACTATACGGAATGTGAAGTAGGGAAGCCTCATTCTATTAATTATAACCTTATCATTTTCACGTGATGCATTCAGTAGTTTCTGTTGCACACAGATAATTCAATTGCTTCTATCTCATTTTATCTTCAGTAGATAACCTATAAGTTCTTTCAAAAGCCTTTCCTTTTTCAAGCATTCCCGGTACAATTAAAATAAGGGGCTATATGTTGTCAACAATGTAAAAGTTTGCATGTAATGCAGGTTGTTCCCCCAGATCAAGCTCGCAAGATATACACGGCTTTAAAAGACAAGGGTTTGCCTGTTGCTCTCATTGAGTTTGAAGGAGAACAACATGGGTTCAGAAAGGTAATTGCGCCGTGACTTTAGACTGTAATTATGTCGAGGCTGATAAGTGATGATAACGATCTGCTTTTGCTACAGGCTGAAAACATCAAAATTGCACTTGAACAGCAGATGGTGTTCTTTGCTAGGTTAGTAGGGAAGTTCCAAGTAGCTGATGATATTTCACCCGTCAAAATCGAAAACTTTGATTGAACTTTTTTTTTTTTCCAAAGGTCGTGTGTCGATGTATTTGCATTCTCTTGTTCTTGCCATATGCACAGTGGGTGTTAATTTTTTACTTATGTAAAGTTAAGTTTGAGTTTGTTTAGGGTTTATTTTATTGTGATTTCTTTGTGTACGCTTTGTGAGCAGCATTTGGCGTGTAATTCAAGTATCTGTGTTGACTTATTGATTGAGATGAACCAGTCGTACTGAGGAAATAGACTGTAACTGAATTCAAATAAATGCACAAATGAAAAACATCCAAATAACTATAGAGCGAAAATATTTAAAGATATATGATATCATTTGTCAATGAAGCGGAGAGAAGTACTCGTATTTTAATGGGTAGATTTCACAAACACCACTCCGAAACTTGGGGGTGATTTGTTCAAAACCTCCACAGAAGAAAAGTATATACCGCTGTTTTTTTGGGGACTTTTACAAAATTCACGTGAACGTCTAAGAAGTTACATCTCAACTTTTAGAGCATATTTCGTTCTAGGATTTGCTGGGAAAGAAAGTTAATGTCAGGATGTTTACGCGGAAGCTTGCGAAGTTTTAGGATTATTTTCTCTAATTTTGGGAGTTCCTGATATTATTGTGCAAATCGCCAAAGTTCAAACAGTGTTCTCCCAAATCTAGGGTCGGGCGTTGGTTGGGTCGACCCGCGGGCTAACGGCCTAGCTTGCCATGGGTCATAGTGCAGCCCGACCCATAATAGGCTAGGCCTGATCCGGCTCGTGATATACTCGGGTCACGGGCCGAGCTAGATCTAACCCCATACCCAAAACTAAAAAAATAGGTTCGGGCCAGCTATTGACCCCACTTAATGCAGAAGAACGGTCACAAGGACATCAAACAAGACCTTTCCTTGAAGAATTTGATGAATAAAACTAGAAGGATTTTGGCTCCTTGAACATTAATGGTTAACATATTTTTTTTTCTTTTTTTTTCTATTGTATTTATAATTTAAATTTAAACTAAATGATTGTTATTAACTTCTCTTGGACATAGGTCTTCCTTCGAAGTCGAAACCACGTATATCTTTGTGTTTGCGATATTTTTCTATGTAATGTTTATCTTTGTGATGTGTATATCATTTTAAATAATAAGTGAAATAGGAAAAAAATAGTTTAAATATAATTTAATAGAATACAAATATATAGTTAATATAGTTTAGAAATTGGGAATTAAAAAATTAGGAAATAGTTAAAAAAATCAACGGGCCGACCCATGACCCAGGGGTTGTGGGCTAGGCCCGACCCAGCGCGCCCCTAGATAGGTTGTGGGCCAGGCCAGGTCCAATTCTATACGCAGGATCGGAGAAATAGACCGTCCCACTTTAACTCAGATGAGCTCCGGTCAGACCCAACCCGGTCTTGAACCGCGCGGGCTGGATCACAGGCCTGAACCGGGCCGACCCACGCCCACCACTATCCAAATCCTCATATCTTAAAATTCCGAACTGGGTTTTCTTTTTACCGACCCGGATCCGTTTCCGAAGCTGGTCCCACTCCCATCACCCCCCAAAGTCCCATGTCTCAAATTCCCTCCACTCCCTCTCTCTCTCTCTCTCCTCGTCGATGGTGGATCTCCGTGGACTCTCTCCTCTGCTCCCTTTCACGAGAATTCCGACGGTGAGCCCTCTCTCTTTACCCCTTTTTTACTAAACCCTAGTTCTAATTTAAAAATTTCCAAAACCCTCGATCCTAAATCCCTAAAACCCTGACTTTAACTTCTTGGCCCTATCTAGGGTTTCTTTTTTCTCAGTAAGTAGAGAACCAATGCTAGTTTTTCTTTTACTCTAGAGCGTGTTATTCTTGCGCGAATCGAATTTCTCAAACAAGTGAAGCTTAAAGCTTTGAATTTTTTTTTTTTGGTTTACTTCTTTTGAAATTAGTTAACTGTGTTGTGAAATTATGGTCTTTATCTAATTAAGGTATAAGAGGAAAGAATTGGGTTTCAGTTGTGTAACTGTTGTTTCTTGTTTTCGAATACCGTGCATCGAAGCAAGCATCAGTGCTAGTTGCAGCTTCTTTGGTTTCAGCTCCTTTTCTTTAACTTCATCTTACTAGGTTGAACACCTTATTAGTGTATTATGAATGGTGTTGTAGTGGAATCAATGTTTGATTATAGTACCACACAAGCATATATGCTTCTATAGTACTGCAATTTGTTACTATCTTTCATGTCATGCTATTGACATTGGATTTTAAATTTGCTTGTTTCGTTGCAGTAGCATCTGCAACTCTTGAAGACCATGTGAGACTTTTAAGCATGCAGACTCTGTATCCATTTTTGCAATTAAACACTCATTCATAACCCTCTCACCCAAGTTCTATTCTTCACTCTTTGTATTTTATAGTTAGATAGATAGGAGAGTGGAGAAGATGGATCCCTCGATGTTGCTTATGCTGTCCAACCTTCTCCACCTTCACAACCACCTTGATCCGATGCCGTCCCTTCTTTCATCCTCTCCCTCCCCGTCCTCCCCCATTGATCCCAACCTCTCCTCCTCTGCTGCTCCTCTTCTCTTCTTCGCCCTTGCATCTGTTCTCTCATATGCTTCTTCGACACTAAACCAATCAAATTCCTCCTCCTCCCCTTCTCCACCCCCTCGTCCGCCTCCCCGCTCCTCCTCTTCCTTCTTCCTCTCCCTCTCCTCTGACCGTATCTGGTCCATGGACCCATCCGCACGCGATGCCAAGTGGAGATCCCAATATGGCCTCTCTTACCCTGTTTTTGCCACTCTTCTTGACCACCTCCGGCCCCACCTTTCCCTCTCTCATCTCCCTGTCCCCACTGACCATGCCCTCTCCATTGCCCTTTGCCGCCTCTCTCGTGGTGTCTCATCTCGTTCCCTTGCTCGCTCGCTATCCCTTCCGCCTTCCCTTATCTCTCGTGCCACTCACGCTGTCACCCGCCTTTTATCGACACGTCTATATCCAGACTATGTCAAAACCCCCATCTCTCACCGCCTCCTTCAGACAATTAGCTCCTTCAAAGATCTTACTTCTCTTCCGAATTGTTGTGGATTTATTGCCTCCTCTCCGGTTCGTCTTCGTCTGCCTTCATCAGAGGATGATGAATTTGAAAACTTACTCTCTCCTAACCGTTCTTATCCTTCCATCCTTCTTCAAGTTGTTTCTGACCATAGGAAAATTTTCTGGGATGCATGTGTACGTGCACCTGGCTCTTCTGATCCTTCCTCACATTTTCGTGACAGCAGCCTCTATGATCGCCTCTCCACAAAAATCCTGCGTGACTCCGTCATAACTGTCCGTGGTCACCATGTTCGTCCTTATATTGTTGGTGACTCTTCCTATCCCCTCCTTCCCTTTCTACTCACACCCTTTGCGAGTGGGTCTGCCAGTGCTGCCGCTGCCAATCCAACCCATGAAACCTTTAATGCGGCAGTATCTAAAGGTCGATCAGCATCTGTGGAAGCAGCAATTGCACTTCTAAAGGGCCGTTGGAAAATACTCAGGAACTTGAACGTGGGGTTGAATCATGCTGCGCAAACTGTCGTCGCATGTGTTGTGTTGCATAACATGTGTCAGATTGCAGGAGAGCCGGAAGATGATGGAAAGTATTTATGGAGGGATCCACCAGAGAGCCTGCAGCTGGCGAGGCCAGTGGAAAATGAACATTCACTCTACTATGCCGGAGAGAACTTGAGGCAGGCATTGGCAGAGGATTTATATGAGAAACAACAGAGACTATCAAGAGCTGGTGCTGGGCCAAGGTGACACGGGAAAAGGTGAGAGATCTTGAAACTGGCTATCCTTAATTATTTATCCAGCTGCAATTAGTTTACTTTATATTAAAGAACTATGAATCTTCTTCTTTGTGGTGATTGTTTACTTCTTTGGTTTACCTAAACTTTTGGTTTGATAATTCCTGTATGCAGTTCGTTTCTTCTTGATAATTGGTGGTTGATATTTCCTGTCTGCAGCTCCTTTTTTTCTTGATAATTAGTGATAAAATTTATCTCAGGTTCACAATTGAAATACCAGTGGTGGATGATTTAATAGTGAACTAATGCATTAGTTATCAAAACTTCTATTAGGTTGTCGCCCGCATGTTTTTCTTATCATTTATATCTATGTTTGTTAATCTGGTTTTAGTTATTCTTGCTGCATTGCATCATGAGATGGCTGTACCTTGTCCTGGAGAACATGACTATATTTTGCACAATATGGGGGAAAGAGACTTGTGCAAACATTTTACATTGCAGATGTTGCTCACTCTGGTTTCGTTTTCCATAATCTTTAAAAAAGCGGAAGCGCAAGGTGAAGCGCTATACCCTTTGTTAAAGCGAGGCGTAAGCTTCAAAGCGTGAGGCGTAAGCTTCAAAGCGTGAAGCTTAAGCTTCAACCTTCATGAGTTTAAATATTTTAATTTTAAATTGGTAATAATTATGAACATATGACATATAGTGGCGTAACAATTACAAATATATACATTCATGTCCTCATTAGTAAATAAGAATTAAACATGTGAAGTATAGAAATGAATCATAATAAACTAAGCTACATGCATCGATGTTTTCAAAGGCGCGCGCCTCACTGCGCCTCATGCGCCTTGTAATGTGGGGCAGTGGCGAAGCACCCCACATCTGATGCAGTAGGTAGCGCCTTTTGCGCCTCGTGTACATCCTTACTTTGTGCACGGTGCATGTAGTACATATCCTCATATAGTTTTGTTTGTTAACATTTCAATCGAGTCTTTATACTTTACAATCCATATCCCAAAAAGAAAAATAAATCCATTAGGCCATTTTAGTAGCCCTCAATTGTGGACCGTTACTAATCCTTTGCTTGGATATTAGTTCTGATTTAACATTTGATTTGAAAATTTATTAATTTTGTTATTATGTTGGGTGTCAGTATTAGAAATTAAGGCATTATATTATGATTTTGTAGTAAGATATTATTTATCTTGGCATATTTTCCATGTAAATTCTAAAAACATGTTCTTTCGCACTAGATTGTATATATTGAAAAATTATGTGTGCGGTGTGCGCCTCGCATCATCCGGGCGCACGCATCGCGTTGCGCCTTGTGCATGTACGCCTAAAGATGTTTTGCGCCCCGCATTGTGCCTTGCGCATTGATAACACTGACATGCATAACATATATATTTTATTTACACTCACATAGTCATATTGAAAATATATAGGGGCATTTTAATGTTAGTCAAAGATCTTTTTATGTCCTACTATCTAGTCTTAAGCGTGTGCTTCAAAATAAAAGTGCATTATGAAGCGCGAAGCGCACACTTCAACTATACTTTAAGCGATGAGATGCAAGCTTCAAGGGATAAATATCTCCAGTCTTGAGTTTTTAACTGTTTACCCTTCAATAAGTTGTGAAGCGAGTTTTAAAAAACTTTTTCAAACATTGGCCCGTGGACAACAATGTCCCATGAGTTTCAGTGCTGCCACTAGTCAGGTGCAAAACATATAGACAAGACATTTGAAGTCTGATAGTTTATCATTAATCATTTTATACTAGTAGCTGATCCTTCAAAACTATATGTATATATAACTAACCCATCCAGAAGAAGAGGCTATTTTCAAGTTAAAATAGTCTAGAAGAGGATGGAATGTCAGAATATTTGTTTCTTAAAATGGAGATGATTCACTTATTATTTGATGTTTGTCTCAATGTTTTTGTTTTCATCATCTAAAGTCTCCGTTCATATGCTTTATTTTCGTTCTTATGATGGTAGTTGCTGCATGGAGTTATTTAATTCTGCTAATGGGTGCCTTTTGTTTTTGGTTGACGATTGTTGGTGATTCAGATGAATGCATGTTAAAACAATTTCATGTCAGAATGATATGATGACAGTCTATGGTTGTGATGATCCTTTCCAATAAAATTTATGTTCATGTAGTATATACGGCGGTATCTTTTGGTATCCTATGACTGTGATAAATGTTACTTAAACCTGAAGTACATTGGTCAATGGATGTATTGAGAGATTCATGGTGGTGAGTAGAAACAATAGATCAGGATAGAGTTTGTTTAACCTCGTGCTTCGATTAGTGACATGCGAGTAATATTAGACCAGAAAGGGCTTCAATGACAGCATTGAGCACAACATGATAGATTTAAATGCTGTCATATGTGATAATTTGTAATATAAATGTATTTATCTAGATCTGTTATAAGTATAACAATGACAAGGATCTTGGAGGAATTCTGGCAAGTGGTAGTAGTTATCAAGGAAACGAATTTTAAGATGATTTAGATATATTAGTATTTGAAGAGAAGTGAATTACATTATATGTGATAATTTGTAATATAAATGTAACAGCTTGACATGTCATAAGTTTGTCATGGGTGAGGATGTGGAGTGGCTTTCTGGTACACGGTAGCAATCATAACAGGAAATAGAGACTGGTTTTAGATGATTTAGATGTATATGTATGCTTGAATTGACACGGTAATGAGCCTGTCTCGAGTAGTTGAAGGGTGACTAGTGCATTATCACCGAGAGATATGAATGATTTGGATGGAGAATTTGAGTATTGGATAACATTGTTAAGGACGATAAGATAAACGTATTATAAGCAGCATTATTAGGAGAATTTGATGCAAACCAAGATATTTGAGGAAGTTTTGAGGGTTGGAACTAAAGTTTATGCTTACTATAAGCAGCATTATTAGGAGAATTTGATGCAAACCAAAATATCAGAGGAAGTTCGAGGATTGGAACTGAAGTGTATGCCTACTACTCATAAGATGTTAGTGGATGACTCAAATAGTTTAAAGGTTTCTAAGAGGTGCGATGTATGAACATGGGCACAAAACCATTTTCCTACATTGTCATAGGATGTTGGAAATGGAAATTTCTAAAATGCACTCGCACGCTTGCAGAGAAAGATACATGTCTTATATTTGTTTTTTATTATTTATTTCTTTAAACTTTTTTAATTATTTTTTTTTTTTTGGGGGGGGGGGGGGGGGG